AGAGAGCTGGGGAGGGGCTTTGTGCAAGGGCCTGGGGGGACAGGACAAGGGGTGAGGGCTTTAGACTGGAAGAGGGGAGATGTAGATGAGATGGAAGGAAGGAATTCTTTCCGGTGAGGGTGGTGAGGCTCTGGCCCAGGCTGCCCAGAGGAGCTGTGGCTGCGCCCTCCCTGGCAGTGCTCAAGGCCAGGTTGGACGGGGCTTGGAGCACCCTGGTCTGGTGGAAGGGGTCTGTGCCCATGGTCAGGGGTTGGAACGAGATGGTCTGTAAGGTCCCTTCCAACCCAAACCAATCCATATTTCTATGATCCTGTGTCGCAATGGGTTGCAGACCGGAGGGTGTTTGGTGAGGAGCCCTGTACGCTTGCCTTGCTCTTGCAGCCCTAGGCTTGCTGGTGCGTGCCCTGCCTGCACCAGAGCCTGGCCATATCAAGATGCCCGTGGCTCCCGCGGTGGGCTGGGGGCTGGTGCAGGATCGCAGGGTGAGGGTGAGGGTGCTGGGACCAGCCCTGGGGTCCTTGGTCTCCATGGGGTGCACCCAGCGAGGGCTCCCCTGCCCTATGGAGCCCCGCTGCCTGCCCATCCTGGGGGGGTCCCCGGGCCATATCCCCATCTCCACACCGGTCCCCAGGCATCGCCCCCACCCCACCTTTCTCCCTTCCCGCAGCACGAGGAGGCAGCTGGCCGGAACCACAGCCTGGCTCAACGGGTGCAGGACCTGGAGCATCGGTACAGCGAGGCCAGCACCCTGCAGCACATCCAGGCCACGCTGCTCTACGACATGCAGGCGCAGATAAACAACATCTCCGTCCTGACCGACTGGGCCTGGCGTAATCCCACCTGCCTCGGCCCCGCCGAGATGAGGCTGCAGGAGGAGATGCACCATCCAGGTGATGAGGAGCTGCTGGGGCTGGGTGGGAGGGGATGCTTCACCCTGAGGACCTCTCTCAAGGGGAGCTGCAGGGAAAGGCATTGGGAAAACTGCTTTAAATCTCCTCTGCATTGGCCAGGAGATGGGGCCAAGCTCTTTCCAGTGGTGCCCAGCGACAGGACAAGGGGCAATGGGCTCAAACTGAAGCCTGGGAAGTTCCATCTGAACCCAAGGAAGAACTTCTTCCCTCTGAGGGTGACAGAGCACTGGCCCAGGCTGCCCAGGGAGGTTGTGGAGTCTCCTTCTCTGGAGATATTCAAGACCTGCCTGGACAAGGTCCTCTACAGCCTGTTGTAGGTGACCCTGCTTCGGCAGGAGGGTTGGACTAGATGACCCACAGAGGTCCCTTCCAACCCCTACCATTCTGTGATTCTGTGATTCTGTGAGTCTGGTCTCACCCAACCTGCCTTTCTGAGGCAGCCAGGAGGGCTCCTCAGACCAATGGACACCTCTGGAGATGGTTTCCATGCTGTCTAGGAGAGGGGTCCTGTCCCTCAGTGGCTCCTTGTTCCCTCCATGGATGGTGTGAGATGCTCTCAGGGACCAGCTCAGGCTCTGACAACCAGGCTGGCATTGCTCCCACCATCACCCCACCTGCAGTCAGCTGTGGGAGCCTTCTTCTCAGCTCCAGGGACTGTTTCTGCATAAAAAAAAAAAAAAACACACCAAAAAAAAAAACCAAAGTTTTTTTCCCAAGATTTTTTTTTCTTCAGAAATTCTCAGCATGAAATTGGGCCTTTGGTGAAATTCTTCAACCTTGAAAAATAACTGTTTTCTGTTATTTCTCCCACGCTCCTTTTTTAACAAATGCATTTAAATATTTGCCAGGGATTTGGTTGTTTTCCCTGTTGGTCCCTGAAATGTTTTCTTTGGGTTTTTTAGCAAACATGGGAACTTTCAATTAAAAAATTCAAGGTTCATTTTTGCTAAACCCCCATTTTCTGCCAAAGAACCCACTGCCGTGGAAGCATTTTGACCAGGGCCTACCATAGCCAGGATCTTTAAAGCTCAACCTTGAGGTGCTGGAAGGGTAACTGGGTTGCTTTTGCAACCTGTTTGGGTCTCTGGGTCCATGGCAAGGGGGTGGTGGTCTTCAAGAAGACAAGACCAGATGTACCAGTCTGGTCCCTGTGCCCCAGAGCCCGTCTCCCACAGCAGATGTCCAGGTGGAGCGTCGGAGAAGGACAAAGAGATACTTCTCCCGAGTCGTATTCCAGTAGGTGATGGAGGGAGACAGGGCAAGCAGCTTTTCTCTCCTCTCCCACGTAAAACCGGGATGAGCTGCTCTCTACAGAAGTCTCTAAGGACTAACTGAGACTGCCTGCCTGAAGTATCGATGGCTGGTGCCAGACAAAATAAATCCCACCTGACACAGCCCAGTTAAAAACATCTTTGAGGTTCTCCAGAACTATTTTTATCCCTTCTCCTTGTAAGACAAAACCAACAGCAGCAGTTTGGGAGAAAAAAACCCTTCCACTATTATCTACACCGACCATTGCTGGAGAGCCAGACTATTCTTTATCAGTTTATAGGACCTTTTTGGTATGAGATATAATCCAGTTTGAGCCTGGCAAAATGCACAGCATTTCTGTGTTGCCATTAAAAAAACAGTTGAGCTGAAGACCATTCCTCGGCCACATCATCCTTAAGTGCAGGTCTGTGCTAACGAACCTTGCCACTAATCAGCCACTGAGCTCAGGTGTGAAGCCAGCGTGCTGCAGAGCTTTTCATCTTCAGAAGCAGCTCTGGATCCGGGATTATTTGTCCGACTCTGCATCACGATGATCATGAAAGCCATGCTTGTTTTGGTTGCGTGCCCCTTTCTCCACGCCGTGCACTGAACGCCGTGTTTCTCTGCTCTCTCGCACAGAGATGAAGCATGCCAGGAACTGCCCCATCGACTGTGCTTCCGTTTACTACAACGGGCTGCGGCGGTCTGGGGTCTACAGCATCATGCCCTCGGTCGGAGGGATGCCCATTGAAGTGCTGTGCGAGATGGACACTGAAGGTACTGCAGGAGGAACCTACAATGTCTTCCAGCAGAGCTTTGGGTGGGATTTGTCTAACCTGAGAGTTGTATCTCATATCCGAGTTGTTTCTAAGCTACTTCGTAGTCCGTGAGAGCAACATCTCCAGAAGGACTCCTCCCAAGGGACAGACTCGTCCTCTCTGCTGGCTGTAGAAGGGGTTTGGATGAATACTTCAAACCAAATATCGTTGTTGGGATTCAGTTGCTGAAATACAGATGTTTCGTGCTCTTTGAGATGTCCTCATGCACCCAAGATATTTGCAACACACTAGTGGATACGACACAGGGCTTAGGGAAAGGTAAGCCCTTCTGGAGTAGCAGCTGGTCACTCGGGGGTACCTGGAGCATCTCCAGGTAGTTGAGGGCTATGCATGGGCAACCACTAATTGTAGCTGTGCTGAAGTGAGGAGGGGGGAGGTAGATCCTCTCCCACAGATATTTTGGAGTGTAAATGAGGGAGCAGGTGACCTCCCACATCCTTGTTGTCTGAACACCTATACAGAGCACACTATTGTCATGCTAAGGCGCAAAGTTGCCTCGTAGATGTGGCACTTCAGGATATGGTTTAGTAGGAATGCTGGTGTTGGGTGGATGGTTGGACTCGATGATCTTAGAGGTCTTTTCCAACCTATGATTCTATGATTCTATGAAACTTACTAACAAAATTAGTGTGTGACACTTCAGTTTTGGAAGAGCAATGCCATTCATCAAGGAAATGGTGTGGTGGATTGTCAGTCCCTTGCCCCGTGGATCTGCTCCAGCACGGACGGATGTATCACATCCACACGTCCCGTGCTGGAGGAAGGGGTTCAGCTCCCCACACGTAGGCGTCTCCCCTGTTGTGGTATCAACAGGTGATCGCAGCTTTGGGATGCATGTGCTCGCTAAGATACACGCTGATCAGACACTGTGATCTCTGTTATGTCATGACTATCGTATGCGTGACCACCAATGCAATCTTGGACGCTGTAGAGTGACAGGCTGTACAAACAGCAAATAAAAAGGTGGCCCCAGTCCCGTCCCCTCCCACCCCAAGCTTGCAGTATTAGAATGAAATGAGAGAGAAGAGAGGGATTTGGACAGATGGGAGAGCAGATGGAGGCAGTGAGACAATACTGGAAGAGCTCCTGTGCCTCTGTGGTGCTGCAGGAACAGTACAGAATTGTCTCCAGACTGCAGGATCTCTAGTTTGTTCTAGTTCCAAAACATTTGCCTCCTGATAACTACCAGCTCGCTCACATTTAAAACCATCTTAAGATCTGGGACAGTCAACAGGGGAACATCATCGTGAACCAGCATGGGAGAGGTGGGAGCCCTTTTCCGTGAGCTATGATGGGCATCGCATTTTATCCCCGTGTAGCAACCAGCACTGTATTTCGCCACTTGGTGGGAGGAGGCACGACAAGGAGATACCTTGCTGAGCTGCAGATGGATGCTCAGAGGTGACACCAGTAAGGGATCTGTCTGGGACCCCCTGGATGCTCCCTGGAGACTCCCATTTTTTGTTATCTCTCTCCTGGCAGGTGGGGGCTGGACAGTCATCCAGAGGCGTCAGGATGGTTCAGTTGACTTCAACCGAACCTGGAATGAGTACAAGGAGGGCTTTGGGGACCTCAATGGCGAGTTCTGGCTGGGCAATGAGAACATCCACAAGATGACGAGCCAAGGGGACTACTCTCTGCGCATCGACCTGGAGGACTGGAACAACAAGCACAAGCACGCCTTCTACCAGGTCTTCAGGTAGAAAGTGGGATGCCCTTCCCTGGTCCTCACAGACGCAACCCGTTCATTTCAGTGTTCTTGAGGCGTAGGAACCCTGCTGTGGTCAGAGTGACTCTGTCTAGAGAGCTTTTCAGATTGGGCCCAGGCTGTCTATCCTTTCTTCCACGCCTGGATTTTACCACCAAATTTTGCTCCAGGTTGAAGCCTGGGTGTGAGCTTGCAAGTGTGCAGTGTCGTTTGGCCATGGCCAACATCCACAGCCCCAGAGGAAGGGAGCCAATGGGCAGTTCCCAGCTGCTTAGGGGTAATTTTTCTGCCAGAATTACCGAGCTGTATGTCAAAAACAGGGTTTTGAATCCTGTGGTCTTGCTGGGCAGGTCCTCCAGCATGTCTGGTTTAGAGTTGTGTTTTGGTTTTTACCCTCTCTGCTCACGGCCTTTACTTGCTGGGCCTGATGTAATGTCCTTCGGTGTCCATAGCTCTTCCCCTTCTCTGGTGTTTTATTTACCCATACCATCTCAGCCACACCCTTTCTTAACCAGGGGTGACCAAGTCTGTCTAGACTGTCCCAGATGAACTCCGTCTCTACTGGAAACGCTTGTGCGTGACTGTGGAGTAATCCGCCCTGGGAGAATGTCCAAGGGAGTGATGAATCTTACAGACACTTGAAGCTTGAGGGCTTTGAGTAGAGCCCAAAACTGCGGAAAATGCTGGAAAAAAAAAAAAAATCCCATTGTCTGAACGTGCTGTAGAGCGTCCTCCACCAGCAAATGTAAAGTCTGAACGGTCGTCTCGAATTTCACATCAGACATCACGTGCCATGGCAGTGACCTTAAAACCTTTGCTAATCCAGGGGCAGATGACTAATTAGCTCAGTGTAGAAGAAGAGCGAGATGCTTGTTACGTGGAAAGGAGGCGGTGCTGTGTAATTAGAGGGACCGTGTTGCCAAAGCTGCCGAAAGTCCTTTGTTGTGGTTTTAGAGCCACAGTCCGCCCAGTTCAGCCCCGTAACAACTGCCCTGAGTCATGACAAAATCACACGCAACCCACAGAAGGGAAAAATACAACATCTTTGGCTTTTAGAGGCGATGAACCATAGCAGGGAGGCTGGCCAGAGCAGCTTGATGATTGCTAGGAGTCCACACCAGGAACGCGGTATCCAGGTTGGAACGGAGACTCGAAGACTCCCCATTAAACAGTCCCACTTCTGTCGCTTGCAGCATTGAGGACGAGGCAAACTATTACCGCCTGCACGTGGACGGGTTCAGCGGGACGGTGGAGGATTCCTTTGCCTGGTACCACAACAAGAGGAGCTTCAGCACGCCTGACTCGGGGAACATCTGCGCCGAGATTTCCCATGGAGGCTGGTGGTACCACCAGTGCTTTTTCTCCAACCTCAATGGGGTGTACTACAAGGTAAGGTGGAAGGATGAGGACTCAAAGTGTTTTTTCTCCAACCAGTGCTTTTTCTCCAGCCTCAATGGGGTGTACTACAAGGCAAGGTAGAAGGAGGACACAAGGTGCTTTTTGTCCAGCCAGTGCTTTTTCTCCAACCTCAATGGGGTGTACTACAAGGTAAGGTGGAAGGATGAGGACACAAAGTGTTTTTTCTCCAACCAGTGCTTTTTCTCCAAACTCAGCGGGATGTACTATGAGGTAAAATGCAGGGATGAGGATGCAGATGTTGGCGCCCAAGGTCCAGGGCTGGGAGGAGGTTGTTGGCCCTCACATCATAGCAATCTTTCCTGGCTTGACCAGTCTCTGCTCTCCAGGGAGGGAAAAAAATGAGTGCTGGGCACCAAGGCAGTCCAACCTTTTCAGTGCCATGGGCCAGACATGAGTGCTGAGACACCTCTGCATGCTGGGGTTTGGGACCACGTGGTGGAAACTTGTGGTACGGGTGACTCGCGCAGCCTGAGACAGATGGATGCCAGCTCCATTGGGACCATTTGAAAAATGTTGGGCTTTACGTGCTCTGTTCACCGCATCGTCATTAAGCTCTTTGCTCCTTCAGAACAATCAGTTTTCTGATGCTCCCATCAGGATGAGGCCTCTGAGCGTTTCCCATGCCTGACCATCCTTCTTCTCTGCATCACAGGGCGGCCGATACTCCATTAAAAACCGCAAGATCCTGGGGCCGGATGGTATCGTGTGGTACTCGTGGAAGGACACAGACTACTACTCCTTGAGGAAGGTGGTCATGATGATTCGACCACGCACTTTCCGACCCCATGTCTCCCCATGAAGGAGCATGGGATGTTCTTCATTTCACTTCACATTGAACGTTGGGAACAGAGGGCTGGAAATACTTTGCTGTGAACAAAAACTGATGCTGGAGATCCTGGAGGGAAAAGCTCTCCTAAGAATGTGGAGGTGATTGATGAGAAGGGCTTTGCAAAGACAAGTGTATGGCTTGCTGCTTCACCAGGTACAGCAGTCCTAGGCATGCTTGGGCATCTCCAAGGCTTGAGACTAAATCCATTTGAGGGCTTTGACTGGGTGATGGGAGTCAGCTGCACACTGAGGCTGGACCTTACACACAGTGGAGGTGTTGAGTGCTCTGGCTACCAACCCAACGGTATTTTAGAGGGAAGCAAAGAACCAGCAATCCTGTATGAGTTTTCCACATGGGATATGATGAACCAATTCTTGTGCAGCAAGATGAACATCTCTCTTGTCTCGCAGAGGTTCTCTGATCACATCACCGCATATGTATTTGATACTGAAGGTCCACCACTGTCACCCCAGGGTGGCTCCAAGGCGCTGAGGAAAGCCAGGAGAGCTAGTGTGCGTTGCCCAGGGATGGAGTCATGGACAAAAATGGAGGAAGGTCTGCAGTGGCCCTCGCCTTCTCTGACAGGGATTGTGTTACACACATGGACATCAGCAAGATGTAATAAATAATACTCCAAACGAAAAGATAAGAAAGTAAAAAATGCTGAAGGTTTTCCATTTTCCATTCCATTTGCACCTTTCCATCCTTTCTCTGTCAGAGAACTTCTGATGAATTTTCTGTCCACCCTAAAAGTGGTCTGCGGGAATGATCAGACATGATTTTAAATCTCTTTTTACTGCCTTACTCTGGATAAAGAAGATTTGTTGTCACTGTCTTTTAATTTTCCTTTTGTAGCTGCAGCTCAAGACCCTCCTTTCTTCCTGATTTTGCCTCCTCGCAGGATAAAGAGATGGAGGCTGGGACCTGGCCTCAGCCCTGATTGTGTTCGGTGACGGATATTTAATTAGATTACTTTTTTTCCTGTTTCATGTGTGCAGATGAGTTCAAAGAGGGTTCAGCGAAGGGGAGAGGCAGATGTGTTAGAGACAAAGCACCGTTCCAACTACTCGTCTCCTGCTTGATGCTCTGCTGGCTCCCTGATGGGTTCCGTAGCTTTTACACTGTTCCGGACTCTGTTTTGCCTGGAACCTCATTTTTCATGGACAAATCAAATGGAGAAGTTACCTTGCAAGCATCCTGCAAACTAATATCCCCCAAGATAATAAAACAATGTTATTTGTCTTTCCCCCTGCTAGGCTTGCCTTGGCAGTCTTCCTTGAGGGGGGTTCCCAAGATATATCGGATGGTGTCTGGGAGTTGCAATGGGCTGGTCTACACTACTGTTGTACCATCCCTTGCTGTGAACATCTGGGCACTACCAGTGGTGGAAGGAGAGGTTTCTTGCCTTGTGGCACGCGCGTCTCTCGTAGAACACCATTCCTTCAGGGTCCAGCCTTCCCTCTTTGGACTGCAGGCATTCAAAAGGCCATGATGTTGTCCACTGATTAAGCAATACCCTACTAAGAGACTAGTAAATCACTTGAATAAGCATTCATTAACGAATGATCACATTGTCATTATTAATCTATGATCTCATTTTGCACATTATTAAACACAACAATAAAGGTATCACTCTTAAACCTTATGAATCACATGCTACTACTACTGAGTTAGTTTTACCATCCTTCCCTCCTCATAGTTCTTCACACCAGGGTACAAGTGTTTCCCTTTTTACCCTCTCGCACTACGTCTTTTGGACATAGAATCACAGGATCACAGAATGGTCGGGGTTGGAAGGGACCTCTGTGGGTCACCCAGTCCAACCCTCCTGCCGAAGCAGGGTCACCCAGAGCAGGCTGCACAGGACCTCGTCCAGGCGGGTCTTGAATATCTCCAGAGAAGGAGACTCCACAACCAAGCCCTGGTGGAGAGTTCAGCGAGTTGTCCAAGCGCATCCCATGCAGTTGGGTACCTAGGTCAGCATCACCACTGTCTGTAGGCATCCACCCTCCGACCACCAAAAGATCCCATCCTCTTATGTTCCTTACCTGGTTCCATAACTTATTCCCCCCCCCTTTTTTTTTCTATTTCTACCTTAGCACCTCTTTTGCTTAGACCAATCTGCACCTAATTAATTTTTTTTCCTTACTGGTCCCAATTCTGCTACATCCATCCTCAAATTTGTTATATCTGATGTCATGTTTGAGGCAACCTCGGCCTTCTGTGGCATTACTGATACGGTTGCCTATGTACAGGTGGTTTTGCAAGACTCTGCACCCCAAAACTCCCTTACAGTTATGGGGTTCCTCCTGGACACACGCTGGGTTCCTTGCACACTCTCTGAGATGAATTGTTCTGCTTCAGATATGACTCCTCCACCTTGCCCAAATGGCTTTCCGTGCACAGATTGTCTGCAGACTGGAGGAGCAGATAGGAAAACGGGGTTTTCATACTGTTTCGGAATTTGCATGGCATTCTTGCCCTTGAACAGTTTTAATCACCCCCCTGGTTCCCCACTAGTTATGACGCCCAATGCTCAAGTCACACCCCTTGCTCACCACTGCCAGCTTCCCATGAATGAATGGCTGGTACCTTGCCCAGATTTGTGATTTCTAGAAGCCAGCACGAGGCTATGGACTGGAGGAAGGACATCAAACGTCGGAACTGTCCCTGCTCAGTGTTGCTGCTGTCGATGGTGCACGAGCCAGGAAAAGCCCCCAGAGCCTGGCAGCGGGTTGGCGGCAGGAAGATTGGTGTGCTGAAGGCACTTCCAGGATGCTGTTTCTGTGCCTGCTTTGATCTGTTATGTGTCAATTCACAGAGATGGGCACTTGTTTCCCCATGTGTGGGTGAGCAACTGAGCGGCACCTGTCGTATCTGCTCTGAAGGACACCCAAGCATCCTCTGATGTTCAGGAGCGGCAATTCATAGCACAGGTCTTGCTTGGGCTGGGATTTAGGGATGGGATTGCATCTGGCTTTTCAAACAGGAGAATTGGGATCAGATGCAGAAGCTCTGTCCAGACCTCAGCCATGAAACTTGGATGGTTCCTTGAAGGCACCAAACCTTTGTTTTGTGTTTTCCCTTTGTATGCCCTAGCTGGGCCTGCAGGATGGTGCTCAGGAGAGGACTCCACCACTTAGTCAAGGACCTGGTCTCCATCACCTTCTCGTTAGTGTTTGGTGCAGGATGCCCAGGTGTGAGGGTCTGAGCTCCAACCGCTCACCCACGTGTGGGTATCTTCTGCCATTTGAGACTCGGGAGCTATCAGAGGCTGGCACATGGGGTGGGTAGAGGTGGCATAGGATCCACAGGACACAGGGCCTTTTGGAATCATAGAATCATAAGATCATAGAATCATAGAATGGTTTGGGTTAGAAGGGATGTTATAGATCACCTAGTTCCACCCCGCCTGCTGTGGGTAGGGACACCTCCCACTAGACCAGGTTGCTCAAAGCCCTGTCCAATCTGGCCTTTGGAACCACGTAGAAAAATCTGGGAGCATCTCGAATGGCTCTGCATGGTGAGATGAAGATATTTGGTACCCCAACAGGGCGAAGAGCAGCCTGAGTCTCATCACCTCAAGCCGCAAATCCAGCTGGAGGATGCCTGAGTTCCTCTCAGGGGGGAGGGAGGAGAAATGGGGTCAGTGTCTGCAAAAGCAGCTCTGCTGCAGAAAGGGAAGGCTAAGCCTGGACTCCTGGGGTGCTCATGCTCCGTAACTAATCGTGGATGGAAGGTGGGGGATGCCTCCCCTGCCTCTCCTTCTGTATGGGGCTGACAGCTTGAGGAAGATGATTTGCAGAGCATGGTCCTGACCCAAGCATCTGCTGGGTACCGGGTTTTGGGCACAGCACAGCAGTGTGGGTAAGCAAGAAACTAAACCCACCCCGGTCCTGCACCGGGGGAGGAAAGCATCTCTGACTCCCCCCGGGACAGGGCTCCTGACTGCGAGCCCGGCTCCTTCTTCCGCTCCTCCCCTTCACGCTCAAACTAACCCCCGCCTCGTTAATTTGGCTGACCCATTATGGTGCTGTCTAAAGTGACGTGGGGTGGGAAATTGTACTGACAGAGCCTCATCGAGTGCAGCCATGAGGCAGACACCCCGCCGGGTCCCCTGCACGGCCATGCTAAGCAGACAGCCCTGCAGACCCCTGAGCATGTGGACGGGCAATATTTGTGCTTGTGTGTCTTCCTGGAGGAATAGCTACAAGACCTGGAGCTGGTTTGGCTCACAGCTGCCTGGGTCAGGAAGGTTTGAGGACAGTTTCCATCTGGTGCGTTAGGTCAATGCAAGTATTTCCATCTATGTGATAACCAGGACTCAGTGTATCTGCTGGAGTTGGAGAAGGTTTATGAGGGCCACCAGCCCGTGCTCCACGGGTCTCCAGTCCCATAGCTGGGAAAGGCATCTGAACTGAGACTGGAGGAAATGCAGGAAAGGGCTCCTGGCATGATGGGCATCAAATAACCCTTGTTTGGAGGCCTGGATCTTCAAACAACTTGGGAATGGAGAGAAAGAGCCAGGGAGGGAGAAAAAGAGAGAAGTTAAACATTAGCTATTCTAAAGGACAATGCTGAGAATGCTGGAAAAGAGATGAAAACTTGATCAGTTTAGGGAGGGGGGTTAGCCAAGGTGGACCTCTGTGATGGACAAAAAAGCTGGATGCAGGAAGAAGCTCCAGCTCACCTCTCTCTTTAGACTAAGCCGTCGTTATCCCTACCCCTTGGCAGCAAGGAGAGAAAAATGAGTCCCTGAAGCCTTGCTGGAGCATTGACCACGTTCATCAGGATTCAGTCCACGGAGCAGGATAATCTGAGATGCAGATGGTTATGGATGGGGTGGGTTTCTGCTCCAAGTGCCTGGAGAGAGTTGAGAGTTTTTAGGATGCGCATCCTGATACTGCCAGCATCGCGCTTTGCCTGGTTTTGACTCACCTGATCATCTTCCTCCTCCAAGCGTCCTCCTCCTGATGGTGTTGGTGCCATCGGCTGTGCCCGCATCATCATCTTCTTACCATGGTGCCCCATTCTTCCCACTGACACCCACTGGTGTCACAGGGAGAGCTGTGTTCTCCTGGCCTTGCTCCCCATTTCTCTCCTATCCTCCTCAAATCTTCTGTGTGCTTTCTAAGGCTCTTTGGAGGAAGGTCTTTTAGCCTCTCCCTATTTTCTTCATCCTTAGCCCAGCTTGGGTGCCCTTCTCCATTGTATCATGGTTCCTGCATCCCTTCAGACCCGTCAACAGACACGCGGTTGTGGGCTGTGGCACAGAGTCCTAGGGCAGAACAATATATTTCATTATTCTTTGTTTACTCGAATACAATATACCTAACAGAGCAGTATTTTATTTGCTGTGGGTTTACCCAGCTCCTGCAAGTCTGCTGATGGTCAGCCTCAAGACTCCTGTTGCCATCGTCTGTACTAGATCACAGAATCACAGAATGGTAGGGGTTGGAAGGGACCTCTGTGGGTCACAGAATCACAGAATCGTAGGAGTTGGAAGGGACCTCTGTGGGTCATCTAGTCCAACCCTCCTGCCGAAGCAGGGTCACCTACAGCAGGCTGCAGAGGACCTTGTCCAGGCGGGTCTGGAATATCTCCAGAGAAGGAGACTCCACAACCTCCCTGGGCAGCCTGGGCCAGGGCTCCGTCACCCTCAGAGGGAAGAAGTTCCAGCCTTCTCTTCTCCAGGCTGAACAAGCCCAGCTCCCTCAGCCTCTACTCGTAGGAGAGATGCTCCAGTCCCCTCCTCATCCTCGCAGCCCTCCGCTGGACTCTCTCCAGCAGCTCCTCATCTTTCTTGAACTGGGGAGCCCAGCACTGGACACAGCACTGCAGATGGGGCCTCCCCAGGGCAGAGCAGAGGGGGAGGAGAACCTCCCTTGACCTCCTGCCCACACTCCTCCTAATGCACCCCAGGATCCCATTGGCTTTCTTGGCAGCCAGGGCACACTGCTGGCTCATGGTCACCCTGTCGTCCACCAGGACACCCAGGTCCCTCTCCGCAGAGCTGCTCTCCAGCAGGTCCACCCCAAGCCTGTACTGATGCATGGGGATGTATGCATCTTGCCTTCTTCTTGAGTCTGTGGCTTCTCTTCCCTGCTTGGGTGTAACATGCTCTTCTGCTCTCCCCACATCCCCTCCCACATGGCTTTTGGAGATTGCTAACTCATGTCCCACCAGTTCGTATGATTGTGGTGGACTGTGCCACCTCAACGCTGACTCCATGTCCTTTTTTGCATGGTCCCTTTGGATACGGCCCCTTCACTGTTCCACCTGAGCGCGGTGGGAACCCCTGAGCATGGCTGCTGTGCTCCAAGGGAGGTCTGAATCCCCTCCTGGGATTTGTCTTAATGTTGGCACCAAATCCCACACCCATGGGACCACCAGTTCCTTGGTTGGACATCCATCTTCCAAGGCTTCCCAGGGTCAGAGGGACCTCCTTAGCCCAGGACAGGGAGGACCTGCTTGGCCCACAGGAAGGGACCCTTGGCCCCTCTGGGAGGCTGGTCCTAAATTTTGGTGCCACCACCTCTCTCAGGCTGAGCAAAGGTGGGAGAGGAATTGGTGCCTCTTCCTCCTTAGAGCTGGAGAAGATGGAACTCCCCCAAGCTCTTCTCCTGGCACTGAGGACATGATGTTTTGCTTTTGTCTACTCCATGCATAGGCCAACTGGTCATCTGGCCTCAGTGTAGACCTCGGCATGTGTCCAGCTACCTCCGTGCCTCCTCACCATGCAGGCCAACTCCTCATCTCCCAAGCGCATGGCTGAAACCTGGCTCTAGATCCCTGCTCGTGGTCTGGGGTGGGAGAGCATCACCTCTGCGTGCCCTGGAGGGGTGCACGGGGCGAGCCCGGGGTGCAAGAGGCCGACAGTGCTGGAGGGCCAAAGGAGACCAAATCTTCTGCAGTCCCACCAGGCTGGGGTGGTTTGAAGACCCGTCCCCCCCCCCTGCGCATGCTTCCTCGCATCCTAAGCCACACTGGGATACCCCTCCCCCCCAAAAAAAACCACACACGAGACACCGCCCGGATCATCCGAAAACAGCAGAAATGCCAAGGCGGTTTATTTACAACTGTTGTATACAAAAAAAAGGACAGCTCGTGCCGCGGTTAGAACAGCCCCGTCCGTCTCCTTCGCCCGCCGCCCTCTCCCGTGCTCCCCTCCCCCCGGGCTGGTCCCCCCCCATTCCCCGGGGTTTCGGGGTCTGGGCGATGCAAGAGGCCGACAGTGCTGGAGGGCCAAAGGAGACCAAATCTTCTGCAGTCCCACCAGGCTGGGGTGGTTTGAAGACCCGTCCCCCCCCGATGCGCATGCTTCCTCGCATCCTAAGCCACACTGGGATACCCCTCCCCCCCAAAAAAAACCACACACGAGACACCGCCCGGATCATCCGAAAACAGCAGAAATGCCAAGGCGGTTTATTTACAACTGTTGTATACAAAAAAAAGGACAGCTCGTGCCGCGGTTAGAACAGCCCCGTCCGTCTCCTTCGCCCGCCGCCCTCTCCCGTGCTCCCCTCCCCCCGGGCTGGTCCCCCCCCATTCCCCGGGGCTTCGGGGTCTGGGCGAGCGTCTCGGGGCGCGGGTAAAGAGACGCGGTCCCCTCCGGACCGGAATCAGCGCTTGGAAAACCTTATCTGGCCGTAGCGGAGACCGAACGCTCTGCTAGCATCAGGGTAAGGAGCCAGGGCATGGCGGCACTGGGACCACTGCCTGCTGGTAACTGGGAGAGGAGGGGACATCCCACCCCTTGCCAGCTGGGAAGGATCTCACCGCGAGCTGTGCTCACCCTCCCCAGAGGCAAAGATCACCCAGGGGCTTTGCAGAGCAGCTCCTGCAAAGCACCTCTTGGGCTGGTCATGAGCTGTTGGTGGGGTCCCAAACTGGTCTTCCTCCCGCCCTGGTGTCACCAGGAGGTGCCACTGCCATCCCCAGGGGCTCCCTGGGGCTGTTGTCTTCTCCTGCTCTTCAGAGAGGCATCTCCATCCCACCTCTGGACTCCCCTGGCTCCTCTTTCCCCTCTTGTTTTTCCCCTTCTCTTCCACCGTGGTTTCTCCTCCACGGGGGTGGTCTCCCGTTTCAAACAACCACCTCGAAAAGCCAACGGCTTTCCAGCTGCTCTACAGCAGAGAAGGGGGTTTCATCCCAGAGTTCTCACCAAGATGGTTCTCGGGAGTTTCTTAGAAAAAACAAAAAGCAGCTCTTCGGGAGGGGCTTTATAATTTCACCCTTGGAAAGCACCGTTGGTGTCTCCTACAGCTGGATGAAGCCGTTGGAGCAAGCCCGCCTCACTCTCTGAC